TCCCCAGTTCAGCCCAGGAAGGGCTCCCGATCCCCAGTTCCGCCCAGGAAGGGCTCCCGATCCCCAGTTCCGCCCAGGAAGGGCTCCCGATCCCCAGTTCCGCCCAGGAAGGGTTCCTGATCCCCAGTTCAGCCCAGGAAGGACTCCTGAGGTTTCGTTCAGCCCAGGAAGGGCTCCTGATTTCTCTTTTAAGCCCAGGAAGGGCTCCTGATCCCCAGTTCCGCCCAGGAAGGGCTCTAGCCCAAGAGCTCTCTCCAGTGCCCGCTCCTCAAAAATGTCCGCCCTCCCACCCGTTCCGGCCTCCTCCAGCGTCACCATGGTCGGAGTCTCCCTCGCCTCTGCCTCCAGCCTCCGAGGCCCGGACTCTGCCTCGGTCCGTAGACCCAGTGGCTCCACCTCGGCTCCTAGCTCCCTCGCCTCCACCGTCACCCATCGATCCATTATTAGAATAGTATAAACTAGAATGTAATGGTATCATGAACTAACAGTAAACAGTTATTTTATAGTACTTAATAAAAGTTACTGTTAATTTCTACTTGCATTTCAAAATGTAAAAATTAAAATTAGTTAAATGCATTATCTACAAACATGAATTATCAATAGATAAAAAAATAAATAAAAAAAATGTAAGAATCTCTTCTGCTCACTGTAACGCCCCTGTGTCCTTATTTGGTTGTTCCTGTCCTCATTATTAGTTAATTACCTTGATTGTGCTCACCTGTCTGCCCCTCGTTATCTGCCCTATAAGTTCCTGTCTCGTGTACTCTAGTATTGTCGGTTATTGTGAATGTTACCCTGAGTGTGTGTGTCTCATCTACCCGTATCTGCCTTGTTGTCTCTACATTAAACATCCTTATTTGAATCCTTGTCGTCCTCGTCATCCTGCCTGCCTCCACACACCTTGACCGTGACAATAATAAAATACAGTCAGTCAAACATATAGAAAAAAAAAAATGTAGTAAAAAATATGTAGTCAAATCTGTGCCTTTAAGTGTTATCACAGCACCGCCGTGATGTGTGGATATTGGAACGCGAGTGAAGTACATAATCAATAATAATTTGGCATTCAAATACATCGCGAATACGGAAACATTTGATTTTGTGGTGAATGAGAGATCCAACGCTGGTTTCAGTTTCGTTTTAGCCTAAATGAATTTGTTTTGGCTTGTCGTTTATATTGCTATAGCTTCTTATATTTTTAATTCTTGTTCTTTTCTAAATACTGTTAATTGAAAGGATTTGTTGTGGAGTGAGGCCCCCTAAAAACAAATTTATTTTATACGCGTAGCGTATTTTAACCATGAAGCAAACATTTTTTTAATATTTTGATATATTACTGAAAAAATAAATAATTAAAATGACTTTTAAACAGTTTAACTGAGTGTATTAATCGGTCAAAATTCTTACGGTCGGTTAACCGGTTAAACGGTTAAAATGAACATCCCTAGATTAAAGAGATTTATTTCTGATACTGAACAGAAACTGTTAAGGATAAAATTCAGTGCTTGAGGGTGAAGAAAAGAAAAAAGTTAACTCGTTTCAATCACGTTCATTAGCAATGTCTGCTTAATAGTAATAATGTTGACTTCACAACACAAGAGTTTATTTGCCGGCCATGTTTTTTTTTTAATTCAAAGTCTGAGAATTTGAAGCGAAAGAGGCCTATGGATCAAACCGAAGGATGATATATCAAAAACATAATTAATCATGTCTGTTATTACTCTTTTTCAATACATCCAGCTACATGAAATTTCATAAGTTAAGATTACATGTCCATGCGGATTTTTTTCCGGGTTTTTCCCTGAAAACAAGTAAGAAACAGAGCAGCAATAAGAGAATTCTTCATGAATACCATCTCCTGAAGTCACCAATGCGGCACACTGCTTTTCCCTATGAACCCTTCACATGCCGGGAGGTCAAATGTCAGAAGCCAGCAGTCTGATTGTGATGATAATGTCAGGCAGTGTAGTGGGGGGCAGGTTGGGGCGTCTGTTAGGGAGAGAATGTCTTTTGGAGGGTGGGATGGGGGAAGAGTCCGGTACGGAGAGTCATGTCATGTCATATTTCCTGTAATCCCTCGTCTCTTGCTCTGAAAACACTCACACTCTTTCTGAATCCCAGATCCCTGTTGCTGTGGCAACCTCACAGACGACCGAGCTAGCCTGACACCCCACCAATCACCCCCTACCCTTCATCCCCTTGGCTATTTGTCATGGCTTGGCTGGGTTTATTTAGAGGCAAATTAACTATGTCTGGAATCTCGGGGGTCATGGAAAAAAAATGAAACTAGGAGTTGCTGCACAAAAAGAGATTTGAGGAGACGGGGAGGAGACCCGCATCAAGGTTCAACTAGCATGCAGTCTGATACTCAAGCCCTTAAAAAAATATCCATTCCGGGCAATGGGCCTTTAAATGCCGAAAAATGCCTAGACACAGCCTACTTTACAACCTGTTGTTCTCCTGTCTATGGCTTGAGAAGCAGTGAATGAGTGCATGTGTACATGAGCAGTTAGGAATGTGCAATGAAGACCAAATTGGTCAGATTCTTGGGTACACCTTCTAACTGGGCTATTTTTACATACTCTTTGTTACAAAATTTGTAATTAAAAAAATGACATACCTTTTGTACAAAAGTGTGGTCAGCAAGTGGTTAAACAAAAGAGAAACTTTTTGGACAGATAACAATTGGCACAATCACTGAGGAACTGCTCGTGGGATTTCAAAGAGTTACTGGACTATGAGGAATTGTAGATGTGTTGACAAGTGCTATTTCCACACACAAAGAAAGGGAGCCTCTGGCCTTGCAAAACATGATAACATGCATGTGTGTGTGAGTTTTGGAACTCATTCCCTCTGTGTGTGTGTATCCGTGCTGGAGTTCCATACTTATTGCATCGTGAAGATCTTGGTGAAAGTGTGTGAGAATGTGTAGATATTGGTCAAGTAGCAGCAGGGGGAGGTTAGGATATTTGTCCTCACACGGTGTTCTGCAGCCAAAACACACATTCTTTTGTCTGGGCCTTGGCTGTGCATATCAGTCGTCTAAAAACATACAGCCAAGAGTCCTATCAGAGCTTTCAGAGTGAAAAATAACTCATTGTAAAGGACCTTCAACCTGGCAGGAACTCCACTGTGAGTGAGGATGTTCTACAAAGAAGAATTTGGACAATTTTGAGTGTCATACGGATGGAAATTAGCTGATTCGCTTTTAGCCAGGTGTGGGATGTTACTCAGCATGACTATTGAGTCAAATATACCAAGACTTGACCCCTGGCCCCTAAGTAATATCAGAGTAGACAAGGCTGAGGTAGGATGAGGGCAAAAACAGTAATCACCCAATGTCACAACACC